TTTAGCCTCTCTTCATATGGGACCTGTTCCAAACCCCTGATCATTTTAGTTGCCCTCCCCTCTCCCAGCCTCTCTCTTCCCCTCTCCCACCTCCTTTTCCCAGTCTCCCCCAGTTTTGTTCAATAAAGACAGATTCCATTTTGGAAGACACGTTATCTTTATTTTGTACATCAAGAAGAGGAGTTAGGGAAGGGTAAGTGGAAGGAGGTGAGGGAGGAATGGGGCATGAGCCCCCGATGGGGAGGACTGGGCTGGCTCTGCGGGCTTCTGGGGGTGGAAGCTCTCCTGCAGCCTCCCAATTGCCCCCTCTCCCCAGATGGCAGCCTGCGGAAAGTGCAGCCGGGCTGATGGCCGAGTGCTGTGATGTGCCCAGTGTGGGCACTCAGGGCACTCCAAGCCAGGACTGCTTTGCAAGTGGGGCACCCCTGAGAACTGTCTGTCCGGGGTGGGGGTTGGGACCCTTTAAGCACAGCCCTCGGCTAGCCTGAGACAGCAGCTCCACGCTCTAAGTCCTCCTCTGATACCCTGCCGGCACTGCTTCCGGCCATCCTTAACCCCGGTTCAGGGTCCACTTAATGTGGACATGCTAGTTCGAATTAGCAAAACGCTAATTCGAACTAGTTTTTTAGTCTGGATCCGTTAGTTCGAATTAGCTTAGTTCGAATTAACTAATTCGTACTAAGTTAGTTCGAATTAATGTTGTAGTGTAGACGTACCCTGTAATATCCTGGGACTGACACATCTACATTTACACTGCATCCAGCATCCAGTAGATAACTTGTGCTTTCTTCTGTTCCACCCTCTGCAGTTCTGTGTGTTATTTGCTACAGGATCTACCCTTTGCCTCTGAGTTATGCTCCAGCATCTATGCTTTCATTGGAAGAAAATGTTTCTAATACCTCTGATGGTGTTTTCTCATCTCTTCAGATTATGAAAAGGGAGGAGTTCTAGAAGTGAGAGACTTTGAAAGAAAAGCTAAAGAAGGTAAGTATTGTGAAACATGAAACAGTATGGGAACTGGAGGCAATGAAAATAAGTGAACTATTTCTACACAGTACAGAGGATGGAACTGATTTAAAAATAAATACAGATCAATTATTCTCTATCCCATGCTGCCCTGTCATCTATCCCTTATTAGTTAACTCATTTTTTAGGTCTTGAAGAGGAATTGAAGACTCAAAGCTCTCTGGCCTTACAGTTCAGGGAGTAGGTTTCTTTCAGAAGCATCATTGTGGCAGGAATAGATCTACTGTACTAACACAAGAAGAAATCTTTCTGGATTTCATGTCTGAGCTTAGCAGAATGATGATCCTTGTTAGTCCCGCATCCCATTGCTTTTGAACTCCTTTTTATAGCTCAGACAACCTGGACTCTCTTTGAATTCAGTTAAAGTTTACCTGGGAGGCACTTCTGCTTTTCACCCTCCCATGATGGACCATCTAGTTTTCACACCCTCTTATGAAGATATTTGAAGGGCCTAAATCAAGTGTTTCCATCTGTTCACGAATTACCACCAACTTGAGACTTGAATTTGGTGTTTACAAAGCTAATGATGGTGCAGTTTGAGTTGTCACATTGTTCGTTGCTCTGTCCATCATTGAATATGGTGTTCCTGAGAGCGACATTAGCCCAAGGAGTAAGATCCAAGACTTGCTGGCTGATCACTCCCATGTATGCTTTTCCATAAGAATAATGTGTTGAATTTTTAACTAAGGTGGGCTCTGATTGCCACTTTATCTATTAATTTATCCATAATCCTCCCCAAATCATATTTGTCGCCAAAAGAGGCTAAGTTATGTGGGATGGGGTAGAATTTAAAAAAAAAATGAATTAGGAGTTCTTTTGACTTTCAGTTAAACTTAAGCTCCTGAGTGACTTAGATGCTTTTCAAAATGTGACTTAGGCTCATAAGTCACTTGGGTGTTTTTGAAAATGTAACTAGCTGTTCAGAGAGCATTTAACTCTTGAGACATGAGGACCTGATCCAGCACTCAAGTGAATTCAACTAAAAGACTTTCATTGACTTCATATGGGGAATTGGATCAAGCAGTAATTTAATAAGTAAAAGTCCTAGACTGTTTGTGCCCTGGAGGGACAAATCCAAGGGTCAAACAGTCTGTCTTCAGGATTATCTAAATAGATTAAAATGTGTATGCAAACATATTTTGACCTTGAGGATGTGATGACATCAGGATTTTAGACTATATTAATCTGGGTCTAATATTTTGATTGCATATCTCAAAAATTTGCCAACACAGATACATGTAAAACTCTCTCTTAGAGTTCTGGTCATAACTCTACGCAGCTCTGTTTATTTGGCTTTTAGAGCTGATGCTCCATGAGAGCAATCATAGTGTCTTCAATTAATGCTCCTCTTGATCTCCTCTGTAGTAGGCTGTGACTGCTGCTCAGTTCCCCAGCAGCGGTGGACCACAAAGTCCATTCTTGTGGGAGAGGAGGAAAATCCATTACCAGTTCTGAGATAAAGGCCTGTATGGAATTCATACTCCCTAGTCTTTGAATTTTTACCATAGAATTTTGATTTAGCAAAAGGAATTAGGAGGTAGTAAGGGCTACTTATATTCTGGAGTTTGTAGGTATCATGTTGAAAAGGATAAGGCCCAATAGGCTCTGTTGGTTAGAAGGTTCCAAACTTGCATGCAGCCCCAGGACATACATCCATATAGGAACTCATCTTGAAGAACCACAGGTATATGATAAGTAGCCTTTCTGTCTACCATGTGATCTTTTACCCCTAAAATATCCAAGTCCACAATATGAAGGCAGGGATAGCAAGTCCTGAGTTGTAACTATGTTATTTCTGAGTTGTACCCATGTGTACAGGAGAACAACCTGAGCATTTATTATGGATTTGTTTCTTTGAAAAAGGAAGATCATGGGTTGTGGTGATTTATAAATATCCCAAGGTGCTTATAAGGTAAAAATGAGACCTGTAAAAAGAGGTCAATACAAGGAAGTGAAGGAGATTCATGTAAGCTGGTAAGGGCCTAAGTATGTGTAATGGGTCATATATTGGCTAGCAGTACATAAGCAATATAATTAAGGGCTGAGGTTGGTGTGATAAATAAGATCTTTGAATATCTCTTTTCGGAAGGAGAGCAAACAAAGCCTTTTTGGGTTACTAAATATCCTGTTCAGTTTTTAGAATGCCCCTGAATGTCCCTGATTTGGACACAGGATAAAGAAGAGATCATTGTTACCTGCCAAACGCAATCAGCATAAACAGAGAAATTCCCTGTTAAATAAGAAGAGTAATAGGTAGTGGGTTATTTTACTGTTAATAAGTAGATAAACATGTTATATGGTCTAATGTGGAATTTCATATTTGATCAAATATTAATCATATAATGAATCAGAGGGGGGTTGTTGATAAAGTAGGGATTCCTATGGGTATAAAAAGAGTGTACTAATGCTTAAGCCTTGGTCTTTGCTTGTTTGCATACAGCCAGCTCGTTCGTCTCTTACACTCCCCACCCCACCCTGAGCTGCTCCTTGGGGCTACGTCTAGACTACAAGCCTCTTTTGAAAGAGAGCATCTAGACTGCAACCACTTCTTTTGAAAAAGTGAGCCGCTTTTTTGAAAGAGAGCACTCAGCAAGTCTGGATGCTCTTTTGAAAAAGCACTGTTTGCATTCAAGAATACCTTTTTTTGAGAGAGCACTTTGGGGGAAAAAAGCGTTCTTCCTCGTAAAATGAGGTTTACTGTGGTCAAAAAAACCACCGGGTTTTTTCAATTTAATTTCAAAAGAATGCGGCGGCAGTCTAGATGCAGGGGAAGTTTTTTCGAAAAAAGGCCACTTTTTTCTAAAAAACCCTGTAGTCTAGACACATGCTGGGGTGTTGCATTTTGTACCTGTGCTGAAATAAATGTGTTCCTTGGATTAGAACGCAGAGTTAACAGGAGGTTTTGTCTGCTGGAGCAAGCAGTGGCTGTCTGCTTCGTTAAGTTCATAAATAACCTCCCGTGGGCCTTGTTGTTGGTCTGAAATATCATTACTGCAAAGAGAAGTGAATGCATCCATGCAGATACAAAGCACTTGTCTCCACCTGTTGGAGTTGTGAGCAGTTAGCCAAAAGAAAAGGGTAGAAGGCACAATCTCCAGGCCTTAGTATGGGCTAGAGCTTAGTAAAAACCTAAACTCTCAGTAGGGAAAAATTAAGCTAAGTCCCTGGGGGGATTCCAGATGAGACAGCTAGACAAGAAATAATTTGGGGTGCTTTGTCTTTGATGATACAGTAAGAAAACGTATAGCTTTAATTTCCATCAAAAGGTGATTCCATGTTTACAAGACCTGTGCGAATGATATTGCTGTGGTAAGAGGTTCATAATGGTGTTCAAAGAAATCAAAAGTATCGTCACGTACAATGCTAATGTACTAGTCTCTGGCTTTAAAGAACAGCTGCGCAGACTCAGATTCCCTGTATATGGAAGCAAAAGGCTCGTGCTCAGCATCTGTGCCATGGGCTCTGACTGTATGTGCAGTTCTGTCAAGTATTCTATTAATGAATACCCTTCTGAACCCCCTTTCTCTCTATCTTCCCTCTAGTGTGTGATAACTTGGACAGGTACACTTCAGCCAGCCCTTTCCTGTGTATGGATCTCAGTTACATCACTGCCTTACTAAAAGAAGGCTTTGGATTTGGGGATAACACACTCTTACAGGTGAGAGAAGCAAAGCAATAATGTAGCTCTGTATCTCAAGTGTAGAAGATGCACTAGTCCTATTACTATTACCCGTCTTATTTCTATATGTTCGTGGTATCTCACCTTGTCAATCACTATACATAGTGATGGCATGAGACGGGCTGCATTTCATATTCATTGGTTTGGCAAGGGATTGAATATAGCCATTGCCCTGTTAGTTATGACTATGGTTTCACACTTTCTTTCTCATGACCCAGTTGAAGAAAATTGTTGATGCCTGCAATCCAATATAATTTGATTAAAGCGTGGGCTCTGGGCTGGGGCTGAGGAGAGCTGTGAGGTATACGGGGGTGCTTCAGCTTTGCGGGGGGGTTAGGGCTGGAGCAGAAGAGGCTTACCTTGAGCAGCTCTCAGTCATCAGTGCAGTGAGGGTGCTAAAGCAGGCTTCTTGCCTCCCCTGGCACCACAGACTAGGCTGCATCCCAGGAGCAGCCAGTAGCAGGTTCCCATCCAATGGCTGTGTGGAGCTAGTGCTCAGGACAGGGGCAGTGCACAGAGCCCTGTACACTCTCTTCCTCATCCCCCCAACCTATGAGTGGGCCTGCTGTGCAGTCTATGGTGCCAGGACACACAGGTAGCCTGTCTTAGTATGCCCTCTGGTCACCTGATCACCTTGCAGCAATGAGACCCAGTGCCTGACTTTCACAATCACCTTGCAGCAATGAAACCCAGTGCCTGACTTTCACGACCCAGTACTGGGTCATGACCCTTAGTTTGAAAACCACTGGGTTATGGTGACCTAGAATTAAGCAACATGGACCTCCAGAAATGTGTCATTTCCTGGTGATCTTCTCAGCTCAAACTTGATCCAAAATTTAGTTTAAAATCAAATCAAACCAAATCAAATATAAAAGAAGCTTTCAAAACCTAAAACTAATTAGAACTAATTTCCTGATTTTAAAAAAATTATTCAGTGTATACGTTCCCAACTACTGCTAACTCTCTCCCAGTCTCTTTCCCACCATCTTCCTTCCCCAGGAAGCACTTTGTTCCTCCATCCATTTAGGGCATGTGATCCCAGCCCTTCTCATGGTATGCAGTTTCCATGTGGATAACCTCTTGAACATAAGTGCTATGAAGGTTAATCCTGCTCCTTAGAAAAGGCCAGCTCAGGGGGTCATTATTGTTCTTACTGATCATAAAACAGGAATTAATATATGAATTCCTGGTTTTATCCCATTTTGCTGTGGCCCAAGTCCTGTCTGTCTGTGGAAGGAAGTTCTGTGGGCTTTTTACTCTTACAGTGCCAATCTCTGCTTAGCTTTTCCTTCTCATGTGACTGGCCAGATCCCTTAGAGTCCTTAGGAATATGTTGATATGGGAAGATTTTAGACAGATCTGTAAGGAGGCAATCTGGGGTTGGAGAGGTTTCCTAGAGCGGAGAGCAGGCTGAGACTGCTCATTTTGCTTCCTTGCTATATTCACTCTTGTCTCCCACATGACTTGTTTTCAGTATGATTTTCAGGCCAGGGACCAGGAAGACCTGGCAAGTAGGCAGTAAGGGACTGAACATTGATATTGGGAAGTGCAGAGGGAGGCGGAGCTAAAGAACTGAAGAGGATACTGGTCCTGATTGTACAGTGAGCTGTAGATGAATACAACAGCTAATAGAAAACAGGAATCTCTGCAGACCAAGCAGTCTCTTATCCCTATACCAAGTTGTTGCAACTAGACTCAAAGGAGGGAGGCTGTTAGATGGATCTTAAAAGAACAAATACTGATTCCATAACATGTTCTTGAACACTTGCTGTTCAGGCAATACCCATTGTTTTCATTTGCAGAGTCACAAGGAAAGTACCAAATTCTTTGAGAATAGTTACCATTCTGTGCACCTGCCTATCAGTTTGCTCTTGGTCTATTGTGACAAATGTATAGATCTGGGACAGATGTTGCAACTGACTCATTTTTTGTTTGTTTATAGTTAACAAAGAAAGTGAACAACGTAGAGACAAGCTGGGCCTTGGGTGCCACCTTTCACCTATTGCAGTCTCTGGGGCTCTCGCGCTGAGCTGGCGCCCACTACAGAACATTGGCCTTTCCAGAACAAAGAGAGGGAAAGTTCAAACCTCCAACTGGAGAGCTCATTTGGATCAGTCCTACAGCAAAACAAGGATGAAAGCCATGGAATCACTTCCCCCAGGACTAGGCAGTTCCTAGCTGCAATAAGCTGGGCCCTGTTGAAATGAGAGCTGGCCCAGTATGGTTTCTAAAGAACTTTATTGCTATTATTGATACAGAATCTGCCTCCTGAAAGTCGAAGAACCTAAACTCCAGCTGGTCTTGAGGCTGATTGTGCTTATAAGTAGCCCAGACACAGCTTCAGTGAATGGATTCATAGGTGCCCCGTATTACCAGCAGCTCAGAGTGCTTCTCATGCCCTAACAAATTGCAGACCTGTGACCAATGATGCTTAGTTGTTTTTGTTTGTTTTATAGGTAGAACTGAAGTTTAGCCCAGAGAATTTTAAAAAAATATATAAATGTTCAAGCATGGCATCAACCCATATGTTTAAAGCAGAGTGAAGTCCCCCTCAGTGTTGTAAACCTCCATTTTCAATATGTTAGCCCTTAAGAGGCTTTTAGTGAGAGTTTCTAACCTTTCAGGATGAGCTAGTTCCAAGGCAAGTGGGTGCAAGTGCTTCTTGAACAGGGCTGAAGGACAGTTTTTAGTAGAAGGCAAAAAGAGACTAGGTGGTTGTCCTGGGTCTGGAAGCCTGGATCCATCCTCCTTGCCAGTCTCATGCTAAGCAGTATTGATTAAGGTAGAACCAGCCTAGAACCAAAAATCACTTCTCACTGCAGAAGATGATGTTTAAGGAGCTACTTACTTGATATGCAAGAAAGAAGAAAATGGGAGTGGAGGTAACTTGGTTCCTGTTTAAATTAGGGTTTGTGTTTTAACCCATAAAACTGTACTATAGTTCCTGCTCTGATTGACTTCATGTTGCAGGGTTGGACCTATAAAACAGAAGTCTAAGCTATAAGGGGTCAGAGAGGAATGGAAAGTGGCCCCTACAACCTCTATTTTATACAGGCAGGCCATACTCTTAGTACAAGGCTCCTGGCAAGTCACTGCACCAGTATATGTGTCTTTAATGTCTTACACAGTTGGTTAGTAGTAGCAGCAGGGCACTCAAGGGAGGGGTTGTAGCTCCTCAGCACTTCCACCCCCTCCCCCAACTGGCTTAGCAGTACGCTGTTGTCCAATAATATGTTTCAAAAGTGGAATTTTTAATCCTTCTGTCCCTGAATGGTTATGTGGAAGCAAAAAGTGCTCACATAACATGACCCATCACCTATCCCCGCAGAGACTCTCTGCCATCCTGCATCTTCATCATAGCCTATCTGGAGGCAGCCTTTTCCTTCTTGCTGAACTGCCTGCCCTTTCTCTTCTGCCTAAGGTAAGCAAAGCTCCCATACTGACCTGAGAAATCCCCCTGCAACATCACAGCAAAACAGGCCAGACCCTCTAATGTAAAATACCTCAAATCTGGCCTGTTACACAGGGAATGTAAGAAGTCTTCACCACATCCTCAAGCTGAAATAATTGTTCTGTATTATTTGGCAGAGGTCATGGAAATGCTGTCTCTGCACACATTATTAGAGGAGTGCATTTATCAACTACAGGCAGTCCCCGGGTTACGTACAAGATAGGGACTATAGGTTTGTTCTTAAGTTGAATTTGTATGTAAGTCGGAACTGGCTCCAGATTCAGCTGCTGCCACTGAAACTGACCAGGGGCTGACTACAGGAAGCCGGAGGCAGAGGTGCTCTGCCCCTAGCTTCCTGGAATCAGCCTGATCAGTTTCAATAGCTGCTGAATCTGGAGCCTGGGCCAGAACAGCTGGGGCGCTGCCCGGTAGGTTCCCACAGGACCAACCCGGCAGCCCCCCAGCTGTTCTGGCCCAGGCTCCAGATTCAGCTGCTGCCACTGAAACTGACCAGGGGCTGACTACAGGAAGCCGGAGGCAGAGGTGCTCTGCCCCTAGCTTCCTGGAATCAGCCTGATCAGTTTCAATAGCTGCTGAATCTGGAGCCTGGGCCAGAACAGCTGGGGCGCTGCCCGGTAGGTTCCCACAGGACCAACCCGGCAGCCCCCCAGCTGTTCTGGCCCAGGCTCCAGATTCAGCTGCTGCCACTGAAACTGACCAGGGGCTGACTACAGGAAGCCGGAGGCAGAGGTGCTCTGCCCCTAGCTTCCTGGAATCAGCCTGATCAGTTTCAATAGCTGCTGAATCTGGAGCCTGGGCCAGAACAGCTGGGGCGCTGCCCGGTAGGTTCCCACAGGACCAACCCGGCAGCCCCCCAGCTGTTCTGGCCCAGGCTCCAGATTCAGCTGCTGCCACTGAAACTGACCAGGGGCTGACTACAGGAAGCCGGAGGCAGAGGTGCTCTGCCCCTAGCTTCCTGGAATCAGCCTGATCAGTTTCAATAGCTGCTGAATCTGGAGCCAGTTCCGACTTACATACAAATTCAACTTAAGAACAAACCTATAGTCCCTATCTTGTACGTAACCCGGGGACTGCCTGTACCTATAAATCTTGCTTTGGCAAGCTTTTTTTTTTCTTTCATTTTCACTGACTACAAAATGGGATGGAGTGAGCAACAGCCTGGCTAGATAACATCTCAGAACTAACCATTCAAAAGCCTTCTGTAAATTTGAGCCTTTGACGTGACATGTTGCTTGCTACTGTTCTAGAGCTGACTTTGGAAGCAGGAAGGAGGCCAGTGCATCTAGAGCTACAAGGCAAGGGGAGAAAGAGAGAAAAGGGCAACAGAAGACTTACCATCATTTCCATATGTTCCAGCCTTAGAAAAAACACTGTCTTGAGAGGAGAGGGAAAGACTAGAAAATACCCCAAAAGTACAGTTCAGAATAAGTTGTTTTTCAGTGTTAGTATTAAGCTCAGGCACTACAGACACTGTTGGGAGCATTTGCTTTTTCTAACAAACTTGCATTAAGTCTGGAAAGCTCAGGGCCTTGATCTTTCAGTTGTACAATCTTTTAACTGAAGTACATCTGTTGCTGCTTATCAAGGGCCTAAATGTGCAATTCTTGCACAAACAATTCTCAACATCAGTAGGAGTTCTGTATGCACAAGGACTAGGATGGAATACTAAGCTGTCATCTGAATTATCCCAGAGGTGAGTTGGGGACTTCACCTGCTTCAAATCCTCACACCTACTCTAGTGCAACAAGATTATTTATTAATAAGAAGCACAAAGTAGCCTTGCAAAAGAAGAGTCCTGACCTGCATCATTGCTGGAGAGCAGACAGTGCCTAGATAAAAGACACTGATTCTAACACCTGTGACTGTAGAACTTAGGACTGTCTATACTATGAGCTAGGGGTGTGATTCCCCTGCTCTTGTATACATACTCATGCTGGCTTTTGTTGAGCTAGCAAGTGTACAAATAGCAGTGGAGCCATGGCTGAGATGGACCAAGTACAAATCTGCCTGAAACCAGTACATATGGTCTTGGCATTACTCATCTGGGCCACTGGTGTTGCTATTCATGCAATTGCTGCTACATTGCTATTTATGCTCATGCTAGCTCAATTGCAGCCAGTATTAGTATGCATACACTATCAGGGAGTCACACCTTTCACTTGCAATGCAGGCATAGCTTAAAGAGAATTTGCTTTCAGTCACAAATTCACATGAGTTCCCTTTGATAATGTTAATTCCTGATATTAGTTAAATGTACATGACAGCACTGCTATAATACTATAAATCCAGGGCTCATATTTACTTAATAGTGTAATACAATTAATTGTCTAATGCAAGAGCCTGGTGTTTGGAACATTAAGACCACTCAAATGTCTATTTTAATAATTAAAAAAAACTATTTTTAGCAGACTATCCTTGGAGTCAAACCTTGGTGGTGAAATTTCCCTCTTTTCTAGAGCTCACCGTTACCCCTCAGTACTAAAGAAATGGGATGGTATGCACAGTCCTCAAGTCTAACTAGTTTCTTGAGAAGGGCCTTCTATTAGACACTCCTAAGCCTTCTCAAGAAGCTATTGTTTGGGGAAGGGGTGATTTGAGCTTACAGGTTAGCACTGGCTCTGAATTGGCTTCCTTGCTGCAAACTACCACTCACCTCTGGCTCCAGATTTTGCTCCAGCAGCAGGAGGCTGACAACTCTCAGGAAGAGATCACATCAGTACTACAGTGCACCAAGTTGTATGAAAAACTACATTTCCTGTCATTCCAGCCTTAAGCTAAAAGGGCCACTTCTACATGAAAGCACATAGCAAAGATGATTAAGTGGCTGAAACCACTGGTACCACATGCCAGGATGTGAAGGAGAGCAGAACAAACAGAACTTTAGCAAAGACGAGCATATGTTGTAAGAAAAAGTTTAATTCATAGTTTTTATTGTTATGCTTCGAAGGCACTATTTAAAAACATTCTCAGATCAGACATGATACAATCCTCACAGGTTAAAGATCTCAGGTTCCCAACAGTCACTGGTAAACTGCAGCTTCACACAGATGGAGAAATTACTTACTGGCAAAGGCCATAATCTGTTCCTAGAAAGGAAAAGGGGAAAAAAAGTGAGTCACTGAACCACTGAAAGACAAATACATCCTCCTTCCCTCTACCCTACTGGATATCATCTCTCTTCCTGTCTAAGGAAAGGGAAACAGAGGGATTCAACATGGCCTAATTTTCTAGCAGACAAAGAGAAGTTACGTGCACTGTTTGCCTTGAGTAGTCCAGCACAGAGGGCTGACCTACTGTACATACTGCAAGAAAGAGAAAAACCAAATCAAAAGTGCCTCCCCCCACCCCCAATCTCCTTTCTGGTCAGACAAAATCATTTTCAAGGTAGTCACAGCATTAGTGCAGAACCCTGCACACTACTCTCCACTACCAGCCACTGAGCCTTGGAAGACTGCTCATTCCTAGGTGACTGCTGTTTGGAATAGTTGGCTTCTAACTCTGCAAAGTATCTTTTAGGGAAAATATATCCTTTACTGCCACTTCTCTTCCAGTAGCCCTCTCTTTCCAGAAGAAATCCCACATTGTAGCCGAAGTAGAATAATTAACATACAACACAGATGGTATCACAAATTAGTATGTAGTGTCCTAATGGTACATCTCACTTTGACTGGAGACAAGGCATTTGTTGTTTGCAATCCCCATGTCCTCAGCAATACAAAAGGAGCAACACTTGTGGAGTAGAGTCTCTTCAACAAGTCGATAGCAGCCATTAAAGAGAGGTTATGCCTCTGACGTTCTGTCTCAAACTGTAAGAGATGCTTTATGGAGCCTGAAAAAGAGAGGGGCAAATGAAATTGCAGTCCCAACTGCTCATGCCACTGATGTAATAAGTTCTACAGACACCCAAACATACACCAATGCTCTCTGCACTTTCTAGATACATCTTTAAAAGGTGCTGGTCTGTCAGCAAATAGCAAGATCCCAGAGGTGTTTCTTGTTCCCTTCAACAACTTTTCTTTTTCCCACATCCCTTTACACCAGTGACCAGCAGA